GCAGGCAAGTTCCAATCTTAGATGTCAAAGCCTAAATTAAAAGTTTTTACTTGCCTTTTTTTTTTAAAAAAAAAATAAATCCTTTTGTTGGCAGTCTCCCACTGATGACATGCAACAATCTTTGCATATGAAATCGGCCAGTCCCCTGCTCCGCTGCTAACTTTGTAGACATTCCAAAGCATTTCTGGAGCAAGTGATCTATTTGGACTGACAATGCCAAGCTGGGACCTGAGCCCTGAATGAGCTAAAATTACCAAAGCAAGAGGAACGTGGCTTTGGAAGCTATTTCCCCCCAGTGTGGGGTTTCTTCCAGTCAAGGGAGTGATAAAGAATGTTGACTTTTTCCAGATGAACAAAGTTGAATGAAACCTCAAAATCCCACTACAGGTTTCTGTTCTGGAAAACAAGTGGCCGCCACATAGGTTTCTGTTCCCTTGACTTCCTCTCCCCAAGCCTAAAAAACGCACCTGTCTTCCCAAAGTTCCCGAGTGCAACATGGGCTGACAGGTGAGGACCCTGTGCCGGGCGGGCACTGCAGATACACAGACACACAGACGAGGAAGACAGGCCCCGGTCGTGGAGGGGGCCGCTGCCTGGTAGGAAGGCAGGCACGTTCACCACTGCTCAAAACAAGGCGCAAAATGCTAAGGTCCATAGGGAAGCAACCAGTAAAGTAAATGGGGAGCTCCAAGGAGGGAGTCACCCTTGGTGGCAGAGGGGAGAACAGGAGACGTCCCTCAGGCAGGTATTGTGTCCACTCCTCTGTCACAGCCCTCAGCTCCTGGGACCACAAACATGTCACATGTCTGCCTTCCCCACTGGAAGGTGAGCTATGTGGGCAGAGGCCCCATGTCAGACAATGATTAATCCATCTTGGTTGGCTCAAAGAGGCACCTGAGGGTATGTTCTCAAGATGGCGAGAAATACCGCAGATCTAGGGGAGGGGAGGAGGTTGGGTAGAGCTGGGGAAGTGAGGTGGGGCTGGGGCTGTGGTGGAGGCTGGGCTAAGAAGCTGGTTTCGCTCAGTAGGCAACAGGGAGCTGCGGGCAGCTCTAAGGGCAGTGAGTTGACTAAGACTGTGTTTTAGAAGATTTTTCTGACAGCAATCTGGAGAACAGGCTGGAGACAGGGTGAGCGCCTGGGAGACTGCTGCACTGGTGTGGATGAGTAAAAGCTGGCGGACGCCCGGAGGCAGGCAGTGGCCAGAGCTGGAACAGAGGGACTTAGGTGAACTGCGGAGCCCACCTAGAACTGGTCCCTTCTCTGCTCCCCTGTGCCTGGCTTCTCCCTGTATTTCGCACTGACGCTGGGCACACAGGCTACATACTCCGAGTATGATGCCCGTTTCTTCTTCATCATTCTGCCCCCGACAGAAGCCTTACACAGCAGGGCCTAAAAAGTTAGCACTTGTCTCCCCTGGGTCCTGCTGCATTTCAATCCCAGTTCCTCAGACGTGTTGGTACACTGGTGTGTTCGCTTGCTACAGCCCTGGGCCTGGCATATAGGAAGGAGTAAGGAACACTGGACACAAAGGGGGTAGTTAGCACACCTGAATAATAATACTACAGCAGAGGTGCCTGGATACAACAGCACAGAATCAAGCCTGAGCCTAGAGAAACCAGTTCTGACCCTGTAAAAAACACAATATTCAATGCCGTGAGCCCCAGTCGCAGGCTGGATTGCAATTAGAAAATGGTGAGCTCTCCGAATGGGTAGCTCTCACTTTCAAACCTGGTCGGCAAATAAATGAGAGGAAGGAGAGGCCACAGTGTGAGGGTAAGCCAAGTCTTGAGTTACGTGGACTTGCCACGACGGACGGGGGCTCCTTTGAGATTCCCTCAAGAAAATGACAAGTGAAGGACGGAGGAGGGCAAGGTGTGTGTGCTGCGTGGGAGGGAGGCTGGGAAGAGGGGAGAAAACTCAGACTGAAACTGTCCTCTGATTCGAAACCCGCCTTCAGCTTGTAAAGCCTCATGGACAGTGCTTCCATTTCCCTTCCTTCTTTTCAAGCAGGCTGCGTGGCTCATGGGAACATCAGCTACTTTACAAGGGAGATTGCCAGGTGGGGGCCTGACACGGGGAGACGGGGTCCAGGTCTGGCTTTGCCATTTATTAGCTGAGCACTGCAGGCAGGTCTCTGGGCCTCAGTGTCCTCAGCCACAAGCTGCAAACAATAAGACAGGGTCACAGGGGGGGCTGACAAACATGGTGCACAGGCGCATGGTAAGACTGAACAAAAGGTGGCTGTTTTTCCTTGAGTAAAATCACAGTTTGGAGAGAAAAGGGCTACCCTAGGGTCTGACACACACTAAAATCATGGTGTTAACTACCATGGGCTGGAAAAGCGCAGTCCCACGGCAGTAGGCTCTGACCTTTCCTGAATGCAAGAAGAAGTGCTTGAAGGCAGCTCTGGGTTGGCCTGGGAAAATAGGGAAAAGGCTCAGCAAAGTGACACACTTCTCACCAAAAGCCATCAGGCGGCCCTGAAAGTGCCTCTGAAACCATGCTGTTGGTACCAGACGTGGATTAATTACTCATGGCTAATTCACAAACATAAAGCCATCTCTGCTCCCTGCCAGGGATCAGGTCCTCACATTTGGTGCCACACACAGTGGTATGTGCATCTAGGCAATGGCAGAAGATCAGCTCTCTAAGATGTCACCACAAGCAATTCTCAGAGCTACCTTGTTTGACTGAGTCAGGATGGGGCTGCAAGACACGCAGGAAAGTTTTTCCAGGATAAATGAAGTCCCAATCCCACCCTGGCCCTTCCAATCAGCTCTGCAGCCAGGGCAGGGCTCCAACTTAAAAATTAACCAGCTGATTGGAATTCAAAGTGTGGTCTAGCCAACCTGAAGTGTTTCTTTCGTTTCTTTTTCTCCCCCCTTTCTCCTCCCAAGATAAAAAACAAGAGAGGTGGGGGAAAGCGCTTTGCGACTCACTTTGCTCAAACTGGCGCTTCACTTCTCTGGATCTACTCTGTCAATTTCCAGATGTTGCCTTAGTTTTTTAAATAACCCCAGAGATTTGTCAATATTCTCATTTGGGGGGAATGAATTGTCTATAGTTTCAAAATTCATGGTCCTCAGACCAATAACTACATGTGTCTTACTTAAGAGGGCTTCCACTGATCTTTAAAATCAGTCAGTGGGGGGCTGCCACCTGCCTGAGCAGCCTCTGAGCAGTGCTTGAAGAGCCAAGTACGGTGTTGATGTTTGCTGAGTGAACAAATGGATGAATGGACAGTCTCTAAAAGAGGAACACAGCCCTTACACACTAAGATACCTACATACCTCTGACTCCTTCTGACCTACATCACTTCCCCTCTCCTAAGGCCCTTCCAGATATAGGAGGAAATGCAATCATCAAGTAGCATGCTTTCTTTTCTTCTAGCCAAAGGGAAGCTAAGGTTATAACCTAGTTACAACTTCCTCAGGTCTACACTCTTGGGGAGTTAACTCCTAATTCCCCCCCTCAGGTTATTAAAAGTAAGCAAACAAACAAAATAAAACCTAATCAGTCACAAATGTTTCCCTTTTCTATTATACACACTTCCCCCTCATTCGGCTTCACTGGCCCCAGGTGTTGAGAGAGGATCTACCCCCTGTGCCCCAGGGCTGGTCCAGGTGGAGAGGATACATTCTGTCAAAAAGGGCCCCAGGTGCTGATCAGTTTCCACTCCTCAACTCCCGCAGACCTCGTACTTTCCAGAGGCAACATGAGGTGGTGGAAAGTCACACATGAGCCAGAGCTCTGATGTCTTGCTAATTTGCCAGGGGACCCTGGGCAAGTCACTCCTCTATTTCTCACCAGTTTCCTGCTCTGCCAAATTTAAATATGATACATGCTGGATCTATCTGTTAGGCTAAGTGTGAGAAGGCAAAGGAAGTTGGAAAAAAACAGGAAAGGGCTCAAAACTACAAAATACTGGCAACAGTTTCATTCAGTTCCTAACCCCTGGTCCTCCCTTCCATGTGGAGGGCAGGATGGCTGGCTGTGTCTTGCCCACTCTAAGGTACACTCTCCTTACTAGCAGCAGCTAAAAGGCTGCTCCCCAAAACGGAAGTGATACTTCCCTCTTCCTCTCCCGTCTAGACCCAAGCCTCCAACAACTAGCTGGGAAAGGGGATCCACGGACTTCCCTTCCCAAAGGGAAAGGTGCCCCAGCACGGCCAAGAGAACTTCGTGCAGGAGACTGGAGGGGGAGGGGCTGGCCCATCACCAGCTTCATTCCAGTATCCTCATCTGTCAAACGGGGATGAGGCCGCCTGCCTTGCCTATTTTTCAGGACCCTGGGAAAGCAGGACCGGGAAGTCAGATCTTATCCTTACCTACAAACTCTTTCCCGGGGGATTCAAAAAGGGCGTGGAGGCTGAGGGATACTGAGGGCCACTACCCCCTTAGCCCCACCACTTGGCCAGGGAGGGGCTGGAGAGAGTGCTGCCCAGTGGTCAAGGCCACCTCATCCTGGCCAATGATGGCCAGGATGAGACAAGGATGTCATAGCTTCCCTCCGTGAAGAGGGACTCCCACCTAGGAGAGTCTGACAATATCCGCCTTGCCTCCCACTCCCAGGAGGTACCAGGGCCTTAAAGGGAGAGAGGCAGATGGCCAGAGAAACTTAGAGAGACCGAAGGAGCAGAGAAAAGAAAGTCAGTGAGAGGTGACCAGGAGGTGAGAAGCAGAGGAAGTACAGGCAGGCAGGGAGAGAAACGGAAAGTGAAGAGACAAGAGCCGGGAGAATGGACTGAAACAGAGATGGAGACAGACTGACAGCGCGGGAGTGTCGGGGAGTCGGGAAGACAAAGGGGACCACCCGGTATTTTTAACTGGTCTGGCCTTTTAGAGACACCCCGTTCCCCAAAGAAAAGCCCAGGAGGCGGGAGGAGGCCGGCGCAAGCAGTGGCTCCCCCCGGACCCCTCCGCCCAGGCGCCTGGCCCCCTCCCCGGGTCCCGGCTCCCACCCGGGTCCCACCGTCCTTCCCGGCCCGCTCGCTCACCTGCCAGCGCCAGGATCTGGGCCTTGTGGAGCAGCAGCGCTCCCCAGTCGCGGGGGGCGCGCGGGGGGCTGTCGGGCCCGGCGCCCAGCTCCTCTGGGCCCCGGTACACGGCGTACACCTTCTGGTTGTCAAAATCCAGCCGCGAGCGGGGACTGAAGTCGCGCACGCACGACACGGGCAGCGCGTAGCAGACGTTGTCCTCCAGGAACCGCACAAAGGCGTACATGGTGGGCGCCGGGGGCGGGCCCCTGTTGGGCAGGTCAGCCCGCGGGGCGGGCACGGAGGTGGGGACCCAGCGGGGGGCGCGAGCCTCGCGGCCGGGCCGGGGGGCGGGGCGGCTCCCCGGGCCCCGGGGTCCCCCCACTGTTATTGTTCCTGAAAGCACCGCTCTGCCAATCGGCTGCTCTGGCCTGGGCGCGGAAAAGAGAGGGAGGGGAAAGGGGGACGGGGGGCCGACGAGGGGGGTTTGGAAGCGCACCGCCACTCGCAAAGTCAGACCCGAGCAATCACAGCCGGAGCGCGTTTCGAGTAGCAAGGGGAAAGGGCAGAGAGATTGAATTGCAATAATAATAATAATAATAAATAATAATAATAATAATAGCATTGCAGGAAAAAATGCATTGACTAAAAGTCGCGTCGCGCTGCTGGCAGGAGTATATTGCTTCAATAATCCCGCTGCAAAACAAATTGCATTGCAACAAAACTGTATTGCAAAGGAGGGGAGAGAGTGTGAGAGAATGAATGTGTGTGTGTGACAATCTTGTTTGGATCTTAACTGTAAACTTGCACTTGCAAGCGAGCAAAATTTTGGAGTGTTTCAAATCATTTTAGCCACGCCTCTCAGCCCCTTTAGTTTGCTTTTCTTTTCTTTTTTGCAAAACTGCCAGCTCCCACTGTGGGGAGGGTCAGTCAGCCAGAAACGCTCCACCAGAGCTGCCAAACTAGTTCTGAGCAGAACTGGGGCTTATCTGGGATTTCCAGTTGGACCAGCCGGCTGCTGTGGTGGAAGGTTTAAGGGCTGCTCTCAGCCAGAGCAGCAGGGGTGCCCCTCTCCCCTGTAGCCTTCCTCCATGGAAGCACACCTCCACACCACGCCTGTTCTGAACGGGGACCAGTTGGAATGCAGTGGGAAGGGGAGGAGTGCTCTAAGGAAGGCTAGCCCAGGGCTAGCTGCACATTTCTGGAGCATCTTGAGTTCAGGGACTTTGGAATAGCAGCCTTAGCTCTGTCCCTAATATAGGCAGAAGAAATAAATCCTGGAGAGTTTGGGGTCCCCCCACCCGGAGTCATGCCATGAACAGGAGCTGAAAGAGGGCCAACGGGGCTCACATTCATAGGAACCCCATCCCACATCAAAGGGGGTCAGCACCCTCACACTGATGCCTCTGAGAGGGTGGGCTTTGTATCACATATGGCTACTTATATCCCCATTGCGTAGCCCAGACCTTGTACTTGGTAGGGACTCAATGAATTTTGGGTGAAGAATGAAATAAAAACCCACATTCACCCTGTCATCCAGTCATTCATTCATTTATTCAAGCAACCACTACTCATTGGGCACACACTACATGCCAGGTGCTGGGGTAGGCAGTGGTGGTAGAGCTTAACAGTCAGGGCACACACCTGGATTCCTCGCATGTTAGACAGTGTATCAGAACTTGGGTCTCGATGGGAGATTCCGGTGCCAAAATTAGGTCACTGTATGAATAACACGCTTTCCCTGTCCTCCAAACCCTTACAATCTGGTCTGGGAGTATTAAAAAAGTATAAGTAATTATGTTATAGGGAGAAAAGTGTTCTCATAGAGGAGTGCTTAATGGAGTTGGCAGATTCAATTCAATGTTATATTTTTTTAAAAAATCATTTTAATGAACTCAACCTGTAAGAAAAACAAAATAAATGCATCAAAATGTTGTTTCTAGTAGTGGTGGGTGATTTTGTTTTCCTTTGTGTTTTACATTTATAAATTCATATTTTATTTTCCACAATAAGCAGGTATTACTTCATAATCAGAAAGCATTAAACATTAAAAAAAAAAGCACGGTGCTCACATTTCTGATCAGCTACATTAATGATGAAGTAGATAACCCCACCCTCCCAATTATTGTACTGTGATTTGGGGAGTACATTTCACAGGTGAACCCCATCAACACATACCTCCCAGATCCAAATGGCCAGGTCAGATCAAGTCCCCCTAAACCAAGCCTCTAGTACATAAGCAGTGACAGTCAGACATGACCATGAATTGTCCTGATGCACATGGTGGTCCTATGTTGCCCCACACACTTGTGGATTCCAGCAAATTTACCTTCATAATTATGATTTCTTTGGACTGACATTAAGTGAGATTTTATTTTAAGAATGCATTCCTATGATCATCAAGGGGAAGTAATGTGTAGCAAGATCTCTGACTTCTGATAATTCACAAGATGGATCGTGCAGAGTTGGCCATATTTAATGAAAGTCCATGAAGCTCCAAACTATGTTTGCAAAATAATCTCAAGTAGCACCATGGCCAACCGCCTATCCCACCTAAAAGAGGGTAGCCCTAAAACATATGTTATCAATCTCATCACTTACCGCTGTCCCGGACACAGTATACTCTAGACACATTAAACTATCTGACATTTCCCAGGATAGCATGTCTTATGAGGTCCCAAGCCTTTGTGTTTGCCCTGCCCTCAAGCTGGGAAGTCCTTCCTGCTGCAGTGCATGGTGACCTCAACTTGCCCTGAAGACCAGCTCAAATGTCATCTCCTTTGTGAAGCCTTCTTTAACCACTGACTCCTCAAGCACAGGCTGTCTCTTTCTACCATTTTGTCCCAGCACCTTTGATCATTCCTCATTAAAATAGCTCTTTGAGGGGTGACAAACAGGCTGAGTAACCTCAGCATCCCACCTTCCTAGCACAGGGCTGGAGAGTAAATGCTTATAGAACAAATGCATTAAAGACAGACACAGAAAGCATGAATAGCAAACCTCTTGCGTGGATTTTCTGACTATTTGTCCCTTCTTTTCAGAGTTGGAGCGGAATCCCAACTCTGTCTTTCTTATTCCCGGTGACCAAAGGGTGGAACACTGGTTGCATTCCTTGTGAAATAGACACATTCTTGGACATATTAACTACCACTGCACACTCAAGTTCAAACAGATTCCCCACCCAAGTCAGTGTAAATCATTCTCATAAGGGGGCAGTTCCATTTCCCAAGAACCCAGAAAAAAGAAAAGAACAAACAATGACATGGCTGCCAATAGTTAAACCAGATTCAAATACATTTGGCATGTAGGTGTGGAGAATGGATTCCAGAGAGGATGTGGCAGGTACAGGAAACTCAAAGAAACACCCTTGGGCAGCCTAAGAGAAACTGAGCCAGAGTTTCTGCTTCCTGTGTGACTCTCTCAGTCAGTCTTTTAACACAGCTTCATGGAGAGCCTGCTAAGTGCTTCTTCTGCCCTAGTGAAAACTGAGCCAGGTACCTCTTTGACCCAGAGCATAGCCCCAGACTTGACACATACCCAAAACTCAAGATGTTGATGATTTATTGATTGACAAGTAAAGACAGTTCAAAAGTACAGATTTCAGAGGTAGTTACAAATGTCAAGTTCAACTAAATCATGGTTGAATCCCCTCTTCAATATCCCTGCCAAATGCCCATCCAAACACCTGTTATACAGTTCCAATGTCAGGAAGTTTACCACCACCCTTAACTTTTGGATACTCCTGACTGTTAGAAAGGTCTTTCTTACTTACACTGAGGCAGAATCTTATACCCTTTAGCTTATACCCTTTAGCTCTCACCACCAAGGGCCTCATGTCAGCCCTTTAGATATGGGAAAACTTAGGATCCTGCCTTCTTAAGATCTGTCCAGATAGCTTCACCTCCTTCACCCATCTCTCCTCCTATGACCTGGATTCAGTGATAATCATTGTGGTATCCACTTTTCCTCCAAAGCGTACTTGCATGTCAAGCATGCCAGGCACTGAGTATCTATGATCTCAATTAATTTCACACAGAACCCTTGAAATAGGTCTTATTAACCCCATGGTAGAGTTAAGAAAATTGAGACTTATGGCAAAGCGGTTTGGCGCTGGGGAGTCCTGGAAGGCTTGGGGTTGTATTTGCATTTTAGACCTTTAGACTAGAAGCAATGTGGGGGACGGTTTGGAGGGGAGGCAAGACTGGGCAGTGGGAGGCCTGTGAAGAGGCTGACTGTCCTCTCCCAGCCGTGCCCCTAACTCCCTCTTTCTGTGGGCCAAATGTGCTTTGCCTCTCATCCAAGTCATTTTAATGGAGCAGAAAACGTACACATCTGGGGCAGCTTTGCAACTGTGTCTCCATTGTGCTTTCCTGTTGAGCTCTGCAGAGCCCTGGGTTAATGTCAAGCTCCGGCAGTGTAGCCAGCTGAAGCTTGTTCGGTGGCAGCTGCGGGACTTGTGTTTCATATTACTTCATGGAATTCTCAATGTACTTTGCAAAACTATTTTAAGGAGACCTGGGTTCTGTGAATTTTTAAAGCAATTGGAGCGTGTCTTTTTAACCTCTCCGCTAATAACTGACCACATTTTTTCATGGTTTGCCTCTTTTTCCTGTGCTATATTATTTTTGACTTTTCAAGTATTTGCTTTTTAAATTTTTTACTTATTTTTTTTTTAAATTGTGCCCAGAAAAGTAACTTGCTGAGCTATGAGCTCAGGGCCACTGTCTTCTCAGGTTGGTTTAAGGAAAAGATGATACATGGTCAGGAGGATCTGGAACTGTTGGAAGGCGCGTGGTGGCCCTTGCCCTGAGCTGCGGGCTGTCACCCCAAAGCAGGGGCATCAACCCCATGCATCCATGTGAGCCGCTGATCATGAAGTCTGGTTGAGTTTGGTTGTAGGGTTTGGGGTAGGGGAAGAATGGGGTAATAGAGAATTGAAAGGAAGGGAAGAGATGCGTTCTGTGCTGAATACAGGCTCCTGGCCAGTGACTATTGCCTGGAGTTAGACAGAATGCCAACTTGTCATGTAGGTAACAGCTTGGAAGGCTCAAGGAGTGTTGGCTTTGAACTCAGAACAGGGGTTCAGTCCTGACTTTGCCATATCTTTGCTGTGACTTCAGGCAAGACAGTTCACCTCCTTGAGCCTCAGTTTTCTTACCTGTAAAGTGAGGCTATTGATACACATCTCCTGAAGGCACTGTGAGAATCAGGGTGGGAGTTTCTGACCCTCTCCGTGTACCAGGAGCACCTGTACCTTAAAAAATATCCCACTCCGCTGAGCGCCTCTGAGTTGGAAGATTTTCAGGTAACACGCTAGTTATATAAGAAATGTTTGACAAGGCATAGATATTATTTTCAGGGAAAATAGGACTCGGCGATATCCATGTAACCTCTCTGAGGCACAATTTCTTCATCTGAAACATGACATACC